CATTTCCACTCTGCAGAAGAGAAAGCTAAGAGAAAGACAGAAAGTATCTGTAAAGCATGTAACTGATAAAGCACGATCCACCATGTACCAAGAACTCTTAGAAAGAAGAAGACAACCAAATTTAAAAGTAGGCAAATGATCTGGCCAGATAACTCACTAAAGAAACACAGATGGCAAATAAGCAAATGAGAAAAATGCTCCACATCATACACATGTCACTGGGGAATTTGCAAATTAAAACAACAATGTGGCATAACTGCATGCATCCAGAATGGTTAAAGTTCCCAATACTGGTGATCCCAAATCCTGGTGGAGATGTGGAGCAATAGAAATTGTCTTTTGTTGAGGATAGGAATGCAAACCGCAAGACAATTTGGCTGTTTCTTACAAAGTTACACATAGTATTGGCATGTAATTCAAGAATTATGTTTCTAGGTCTCTGCCCCAAAAGAGTTGGAAACTCTGCACACCAAAAAAAAATTACACAGAAAATTCTATATACAAATTCCATACACAAGTTCTACTCTATACATAAATTCTATACACAAAAATTCTATACATAAATTACTCAAAAATTTTTATATTTCTCAAGCTTGAAAGTAACTGAGTTGCCTAAACAATTTGTACTGAATACAATATTGTCACAGAAACTATTGTGGGACAAGCAGGTAACAGCATACTGCTCACTGATGACAAAACTGAATCTTTAGCCCTGAGAAGACTTGAGGAAGCATCAGTGCACATCACTAAGGGAAAGAAAGCAGTATGACTAGTCTACCTACCCATGATGTGAGTTCCAGGATGTGACGTTTTGAAAAAGGAAAAATGATCTAGAGAACAAAAAGCACCATAATTTCCAAGGATTGGTGAGGCAGAGAGACTAGGGCAGTGAGCTGCTCTGCATGGCAGGGCAAGAATGGAGCGGTTCAATTAAAGAAAATTAAAAAATTAAAATAAAAAGAATGGAGCTGGACTCTTTTTGATGAAACTTAAAGAATATACAGCCATTAATATGAACCTTGATGTAAACTGTGGACTTTTGGGGATGACAAAGTAGCAGTATCGATCTACCAATTATAATGTAATACACAGTGCAAGCTATTAGCAATAGGGGAAATTATTGGGTGGGGGAGGGTGTGGATAAACAAAACCTCTCTGCACTTGCTGCTAACATTTTCTGTCAACCCCGAACTGCTCTAAGGAATAGTTTATTAATAAAGTAAAAGCTTGGAAGAGGGGCTAGAGAGATAGTACAACAGGTGAGGTGCTTTCCTTGCCTTTCATGAGACCCTAACCAGAGTTTGATTCCCAGTACGCTCTATGGGTTCCTGAACCCCACCTGGAGTGATCCCCCTGAGTGCAGAGCCAGGAGTAAGTCCTGAGCACTGCAGGGTGTGGCACCCCAATAAAAAATTCAACAGCAATAAAACTTTTTTTTTTTTTTTTGGCTTTTTGGGTCACACCCGGCGATGCTCAGGGTTAACTCCTGGCTCTGCACTCAGGATTCACTCCTGGTGGTGCTCAGGGGTCCATATAGGATGCTGGGAATTGAACCCAGGTCGGCCGTGTGCAAGGCAAATGCCCTACCCGCTGAGCTATTGCTCCAGCCCCAGCAATAAAACTTTTTAAGAAATGATATATATGTTACACTTTTAGAATAGCCCCAAATGCACAAGAAGAGTTTTCCGAGCAGGTTTAGAAAATGAACATGGCATGAGGATGCCCCCAGCAGGTTGCTGGAATTGGGTTTTTATTCCTGGACACGTGCAGATTCCTTTCTCTGGGCAGACCCTCTTCCCTGGGGCCTTGTTATTCTTCAGCAGAATCCTGTATACTTCGTGCCAACTGCAGAAGAGGCAGGACTGGAAGGAAGCAGGCCTGCGGCCCGGGCAAGCCCAGGGACAGGATGCTGCCTTGCGCCACAGGATCCATCCCCAGGGACCACCCCACATGCAGACATTTGGGCTCTGAGATACCACAAGAAAAGCCTCTGGAGGCCTCTGGAGCAAGGTGGCCCCAGGTGTCTGAGAATTGCCACCCAGCGTGTGACCCCAGGCACCCCCACAGCAATGAAGGGCACACTGAAAGCTAAAAGCAAAATTGTGCTTTTCAGTCTGCTTCCAAGCCACTCACAGGGGTGGTTAGGACCGTGGCTGCTGTGCTGTGGAAGACCACGTGTGGGGCTGCTAGATTAGACTGTGTGGGAGATGGTGGAGCCGTGGCCCCGCCTGGGGTGAGCTGGATCCCTGATTGGGGAAAGCGGGAGGTAGGTAGGGACGCCCTCGATACAGATGAACCATGAGCTGTGTCTTGCCAGGAAGGATCGGGGTGTGGGAGAGCCAGGGAATTGGGGGACAGATCCCCTCAGAGGGAACCCAGGGGGTCTGCTTCTCAATTCTGTTATTGAAGAGGTTGGTTTGTTTGAACACAGGTTTGAATATAGAAGTTATTGTTATTGAATATAGAGTTTACCAAACACTGAACATAGAAGTTGTTGTTCTTGAATATAGAGGTTCTGGAAATGGGGTGGGGGGGTGAGACCCCAAGCAAGGCCTGGCACGGAGTCCTGAGGCTTCTGGAATGTCAGGAGCAGCCACAGAGATGCGGTAGGTGATGGGGAGGAAAGGTCTTTGGTCCCTCTCACGGCAGAGTGGGGACAACTCAGGCCCCCCATCAGCTCCTGGCTGACAGCAGGGTCTGAGGGCATCTCAGTGCCGCATGTAGGAAAGTGACCACGAAAGGGCAGAGTTGTAGGTCGACAAATCAAGGGGTTCTGCCACCATGGCAACAGAGTGACAAGGAAGCCCTGAAATAAGAGGAAAAAGAAAATGGGGCCGGAGAAGGTGGCAGGGGAAGGTCCTGCGGCTTTCTGGAGGGGAACACAGAGGCAGAGGCCTTGGGCCGTGGCTGAGCAGCCGTCTCTCTGCAGAAATGGGGGGGGGGGGGGGGGACGTCCCAGGCAGGGCTCTCTTCTTGGCCACGGTTGGGGTCTTCACCTTCACAGGGAGGAACTCAGTGTGAGAACCACGAGGCTAGAAGGTCTGGGATGCCCCTGGGCTCAGCACCAAACCACTGGTTTTGTCTCCATCCACTGCTGAATTGTGAGCGCATCCTCAGGTGCTTTTGTTATTTTGGTGGGGGGACGTTGGGGGGGGGTTAATAGCAGGGTCATACCCCACAGTACTAAGAAGGGCATGTGGTACTGGGGGGCACACTCAGAACCCCATACATGCCAGGTATGGGCTCTTGTCCACAGGGCCATGTCCTGGGCACCACCTTGTTACTCTTATCACTTCCCCTTCCTCATTACTCTTATTAAATTTTTTTTTTTTGATGGGGGAAAGTGGAGTTTTGGAGCTTGGGGGATATTCCTGACCCTGTGTTCAGCAGTGACCCATAGAGGTGCTCTGGGGACCATAGCAGTGCTGGGAATTTGAACTTCGTCGGCCGAGGTGCCAAGCAAGTGCTTTGACCCCTACACTGCCTCTGGGCCCTGGTCACTCCAAGTTCAGTCCTCACCCTGTAGAAGGGGCAACATATCCAGGTCTCACACGCTTCACAGGTCCTAGACCGATGATAAAATGCTGGGGAATACCTGGGCAAGCTGCGAATTTCTGTGAGTCCCAGGCTGGTGGTTTGGCAGGAGTGCTGGGTGACCCTGGGTCTGTGGCAGAGCTCCTCTGCCTGGGCATCTGTTTCCTGCTCCTCCACCCCGCAGCCGGTGGGTACCCTCAGAGCCCTCAGCAACCAGTAACACTGCTTCTGGCAGTCTTACTGCTCTGACCATCTATGATTCTCCCTGCCCCTAGTTCCCCCTTAGACTCACAGCTCCTCAGGACCTGACAGCTCTTCCGGGGTGGACTATTCTGGATTTCTGAAAGCCCTAGAGGTGGGGTGTATGATTCTCCCCTGGATGGAATGACAGGGAGGGCTGCCTCCTTGCTGTGGTACAGGGATGGCACATGGTGTCAGGGGACTGGATGAAGCCAGCCTTGAGCTCCTGCCCTGGGCGGGGCCCACAGGCGTTGCCTGCATGGGGCAAGGATTCCCTTATCTGTGCCAACTCCAGTCAGGCACCTATCCAGGGGGTGTATGGGGCACTCCTGGAGGCCCACAGCCTTAAATCTCTCTCCTAAATCCCCACCATCAGAAAATGCCATTCAGGATTCTATCAATAACTTTATAAATCATGGTTCTTTAAACAAAAAATAAGTAAAAAAAAAGAAAAGAAGGTAGGTATGAAGAAAGGAAGGAAGGAAGAGAAAGAAAGAAAGAAAGAAAGAAAGAAAGAAAGAAAGAAAGAAAATGCCATCCATGACAGCCTGGGTATCGATCCTCCACCTCCAGGGCCCTGAGGCCTCTGTCTCAAAATGACTGAGGCAGAGAATCTCATTTGCTTCCCTGGCCAGGAGGATAGAAATCTCGGCCCCTCTGAGGGGTGCAGAGCTTCCCTACCTATGCAGCACCTGGGAGCTGGGCATACGCCCACAACAAGGGCAAACACAGGACAGTTAGAAATGCACCTACTGCACTTTCTGTCTGCTTATGCCACCGCTGGAGAAATGTATGGTTTATCACTGTGGAAACCCTATAGCAAGTAGGAAAGGAGAAGTCAGAACATCTCTTCCCTGATAGCATTCATTAACGAACTTATAATCAATAAAAACATGGCGTTGTTTCCGGTCAGACTGGGCACATAAGGGGGGAAGCCTCCACAGCTCACAGAGAACAATCTTTACAAAGACCAACAGCTCCCATAATTCTGCAGAGAATCACAAGCCTGGACAATTTCTTTCGCCATCCCTGTCCCGGAAGCAGGAGTGAAGATGTTATCCTGGACCTTTCCGAACCCCACACTGCAAACGGAAGGAAATCCAATGAACGAAGGTTTGGACAAGGACCGTGGGAAGGTACAGGGCTAAGATGGATCCCCGAAATAACTCTCCCTTGACAAGAAGCATCACCTCGTGCCCTCGGACTGTCGGACGCAGCCGGCTTACCTCCATGCTGTACTTCTCCACCGTCCTTCTCAGGGGGTCCACGGCCTGCCAGCAGATGAGGATGCACAGGTCGATCAGCAGCATACCCCCGACAATCACGAGCAACTTCTGGTCCTTGATGATCTGCAGATGGGGCAGTGAAAGGCAGGAGCGAAGGTGAGCGAGGCCTGCTGGGGGCAGCCCAGAAGTGGTGTCCACAGGACAATCCCCGTCTCGTTGTTTTGCTTGGCATTGGTGCCAGTCGTGAACTTGACCTGACCACACCCCAAGCCCACACGTGCCCTGAAGCTGATGGCATCTTGTCTCTGGTCTGCTGTGCTCTTGGCACCAGTGACCTTCCTGCATGCCTTCCCCCTGTCTCAGGCCTTTGTTGGCGCTGGCACATCCATCTGGAACACCTCTTTTGTCCACCTGACCAACCCCTAGAGGTAGTTAAAGACACACACACACACGAACCCAGGTCAGATGTGTGCAAAGCAGGTGCCCTGGATCCAGGCAGGGCCTTTTAAGCAGTGCCCAGGGGGCCAAGGGGCCACTTCTGGTGATTCTTGGCCAACTCGACTGGCAGTTCAATGCTCAGCCCTGAGGATGTGATGCCACTCATGCCCTGAAGTGATGAGACCATCAACCAGGGCTACCTCCATGATGCTCGTGGAGTCACGTGGTGCCGGGGATCCAACCAGGCTTCCACCAGTGCAAGGCTGCACCCTACCCAGAGGCCGTCTCCCATACTCAGGCCTAACTTTCTTTTAAAATTTTTTTGTTGACTTTTATTTATTTATTTTTGCTTTTTGGGTCACACCTGGCAATGCACAGGGGTTACTCCTGGCTCATGCACTCAGAAATTACCCCTGGCAGTGCCCGGGGGACCATATGGGATGCTGGGAATCGAACCTGGGTCAGCCGCGTGCAAGGCAAACGCCCTACCCACTGTGCTATCACTCCAGCCCCATTGGTTGACTTTTAAAGAAAAATCAAGGTGTAAACTTATTTCAATTTAAAAATGAGGTTCTTGCAAACCTCAACTTGACCATATATGAGATCATCTTAAAAATCTTTAAAGGCATCTCCGGCATGGGCATGGCCCCAGAGGCACACGGACCTAATTTGGAACTCAGCAGCTTCTGGCAGAAATGTGAATGGATTATACATTAAGCTACTGGGCTGTGCCCCCCCCCCCCTTCCCTGAGGGAAAGGGTGTGGAGTGTCAGTCTCTTCTGCCATTCCCCCCCTCCCCCGCCCCCGCCAGTGGCATGGTGGCTGCTGCCTCAGAGCTTATTGGACAGCCAGGTATGAGCCTGCAGTAACGGGGCAATTGTGGCCTCATGGGATGGGAGGTGGAACCGGCACGTCCTTCTTGCCCTGCAGAGATCACGAGTTTCCCCCCACGAGTGGCTCTCTGGCATGGCCATGGGCCAGAGGCACACAAACCAATCTCAGAACTATTCGGCTTAACCAGAAATAGAAAACAAATTATTTCATGGTGCCTTTTCAGCAGGTTTGATGGTTGGGGGAAAATTCCAAAAAACAATGGTGCATCTTTTGTCAAAATAATGAATGTAATCGAAGTAGAGAGAGCGTTAAGTGGAAATCACCTGCCTCACAGGCACAGGGAGAGGTGGCATGGGGAGTGTATTGGGATTTTTGGTGGTGGAAAATACGCACTGGTGAAGGAATGGGTGTTTGATAACTGTATGACCGAGACTTAAACCTGAAAGCTTTTTAACTGTTCTCACGGTGATTCAATAAATAAATTTAAAAAAATCTTTAAAGGCATATTGAGAAAAACTATTAGACCAAACTTCTTAAATTGTATATGGGGGTGACAAAAAAATCTTAAAATTTTGTTTTAGGATGATTTACTGAGCAAACGGTTTGATTTGCAAGGCCTTTTTTTTCTTTTCGGTTTGTTTTTGTTTTGGCCACACCTGGGTGTAGTCAGGGTTTACTTCTGACTCTGTGTGTCGTATTCAGGCCTTCCAAGGACTTGACTGATGAACCCAGACAGCACAGCTCACACAAGACTGGGTGGGAACTGCCAAGTGCTATCGTTTTTTCTTTTCTCTTTTGCGGGAATCACACCTGGCAATGCTCAGGACTTAACTCTGCTCTGTGCTCAGGGACCACTTCTGGCAGGCTCAGGGGACCATATGGAGTGCTCGAGAGTGAACCCAGGTAGGCCATGAAAGGCAAGCGCCCTACCCACTGTATAATCTCTCTGGCATCCTATTTTATATACCGATATAATTGGTTATGTAAAAAATATATATACTGATATAAATGGGTTATGTAAAATTTCTTGGTGTACAGGTTTTGCAGGTGGAAACAGCTGAAGAAGGCTGGGTGGAGGACCTTGGAAAATGGCAGCCCCTGCTCCATCCTTGCCCAGCAAGTCCTCTCTTTCCAGGGTTTGCCACTGCATGGATATTAAAGTCCAGGGTCCTTAGAGGGGCTCCTGCCTTTTTTTGTGGCCTCCTTTTGCACCCTGTCCACCCTCCTGTCTGAACTCCAAGTCTGCACCAGACGGAACCTCTCTCAGCCCTTCATTCCCCATGCCTTGGGCACACAGTCCACCCCACCTGCACGGGGCTCTGTATTGTCCAATCTCTGCCTGCCTAGCCCTCATTCACTGCCACCACCTCCAGTCCTGGTGTAGGTGCCACCTCCCACGTGAAGCCTCATACTCTGACCATGGCTCATTGCACCATGAGTGCCTTATACCTTGATACCCCCATCTGACCCAAGAACAGTTCTTCTCATGGGATGTTATGATCACTTGATTAGTTAGTGTCCCCAGGAGGAGGAGGGGGTTTAGCTTGCACCCCCTATAAACTTCAGGTCCCCATGAATATACTTTTGCTCCCACTGAGTGAAAGATGCTGAGTGAAAGATGGATGATTCCCAAGACCAAGACTTCTTACCTTCTTCTTCATCTTCACGTTCTTGAAGATGGCGTGGACCCTCCAGGTCTTGGCGAACATGGCCCCGAAGGCTGTGGTGTAGCCCACCGTGAGGATCCAGGTCCTGACCTGCAGGCATGAAGAAATAGGCATCAGTGTCGCCTGGTGGCTGGGCACATCCCCGATGGTGTGTGTGTGTGTGTGTGTGTGTGTGTGTGTGTGTCTGGGGGGAGGGAGACAGGTGCTCCCCATCTTTCCTCTGCACCTCAAGTCCTTCCACCTCAGCTAGTTCAGCAGACAGTTCTGGCTCTCAGCCCACTGACTCAGAAACACAGACATGTGAAGTGCACACACAGGAAATGGCATTTTCTTCTTCTTTTTAAAATTTCATCTCAAAAACAAAGAGAAAGCCGACAGGCAAGACTAAATTGAGGGTTGGAGTGATAGTGCTGCTGGTAGGGTGTTTGCCTTGCATGCAGCCAACCTGAGTTCAATCTCGGCATCCCATATGGTCCCCCAAGCACCGCCAGGAGTCATTCCTGAGTGTAGAGTCAGAAGTAATCCCTGTGCCTTGCCAAGTGTGACCCAAAAAGCACACACACACACACACACACACACACACACACACACACACACACAAAGAATGAATCGCAGTCCATAGAGAGGCACAGGCGTGGGTGGTTACATTATTCTCCACATCACAATGCCAGATGCCGGCCAGGAACTAGAGGCTGGGACTGGACAGTGGTGTTTATTCTAGGGGACGACCATCTTTCCCCCAATGCCCGAGTCACATGGGGACTCACTGATCATCTCACTCACTGTTAGAAGGCCAGAGACAGCACAGAATGATAAAAACCAAAAAGTCAGGGGCAGGGTTGTGGCTCAAAGGTAGAGTGCCTGCCCCGTGTTTGACCCGACATAGAATAGCATGAACAAAAATAAAAACAAATCAACAACAACAACAAATCTGGAAGATGATGATGTTGATGATGATTTGCACCATGAGCTGAATGAGATAATCCTTCTGTGGATGTTGAATCTGAGACTTGAAGTGTCTGGGGTTTTTCGCTCACCCAGAGCCTGGCCAATCGGGGAACGCAGTGTTCTACTCAAAGGTGCACTCAATGCGTGCCCCTTAGGGTCCAACTTCTTTCTCCTCTACCTTCTTTCTGCCTGTCACCTTCTCAAATAGTCTCCAGATCAGGTTCGTCCAGGTCTAGGGTCAGGGTCAGCAGGAAAGAGCACCATTAGGGGGTACTGACTAGTCTAAAACATTCTCTAGTGGTTGCAACTTCTTTTTTTTTAGTGCTGAGGGTTTGAGCCCAGGATCCCACACCTAAGAGGAAGACACACCTGGGTTTGAACCCAGGATCCCACACCTCGCAGGAAGACATGTGTTCTCCTACTGAGCCACATCCCCAACCTCCACAGCACACCTTTCAGAGTTAATGCATTAACACAACTGGAATCACAGCATTTCACAGCATTAGCACAACGACTGTGATCAAAGGCCTCCAGATATTCTTTTACCATGTTCTCCTCTCAGTAACACGATTTTATTTTATTATTTTTCAGTGAAGCCAGATCATTTTTCTTGAGCAAAACTTAGAAAGATGGGGGGCGCAGGGGGAGAAGTAAATGAATACATGTTCAAGAGAAATGGTGAGCTTGGAAAGCCAGCCAGCAAGCAAGAGACAAAGACAAGCTAGCAAGATGCTCATTCAAGGGAAGAACACAGGCTTAAGAGGGCAAGCCAGGAACACAATTTTGGGAGGAAACATGTTAGATTCCCCGCTCAGAAGTGCTCAGGAACCTGCAGGTCACTTCCTGTGCTACTGAGCTGAGCCCCTCTGAGGGTTGGGTGCTCAGGCTTGATGTTCGGGGCCAGGGGTGCTGGGGACTGAACTTGGTCAGAGAGCATGCAAGGCATGAGCTCCAATCCTTTGAGCCAGCTCCAGGAACATGAGCATTTTAAAAGGATGATAAGAGAGGGGTAAAGGTAAAAGGTAAAGGCCCTCCCGTTGATCGTCGATTTGCTCGAGCGGGCCCAGTAACGTCTCCATTGGAGACTTTGTTGTTACTGTGTCTGGCATATCGAATACTCTCGGTAGCTTGCCGGGCTCTCCGAGAGGGGCGGAGGAATCGAACTCGGGTCGGCCATGTTGGCCGCTTGTAAGGCAAATGCCCTACCTGCTGTGCTATCGCTCCAGCCCTAAATGTCATTATGTTGACCTTCTCCAGTGGCCGACATCGGTCTCTTACTTCAGCTAGAAGTACTACTCCTAAGTGCTGATTAGCATTAGTTTAAGATAGGCTTTGACGCATGTTTTCTTTGAAGTAATCATTTGCAGACCACTTGTCCGTTTTGTAGGGCTCAATGCATTAAGTCTCGATAATATAAATGAGTTTGGTTAGCTCCAATTCAATCAGATAAATCTGCTCTGGCATCTGGATGCTGCAGTAAGTGGACCCACAAGAGAAGGGTAAAGATGTCTGGCAGAGGCTGCCGGGCAGGAAGATGCTAAAGGGCAGTCTCAAGTGTCCGTCCAGCCCCTCTCCCCATTTCTGGATGAGGCTGTTCAATCTTTTTGGTTGTTGAGCTTTGAGAGCGCTTTATCTGTCTTGGATGTTAGCCCTCAGCCTGATGTATGCAGTGCAAATATTTCCTCCCAATCAGCAGAGTGTCTTTTTATTCTGGGCTGTGTTTCTTTGCAGTGCAAGAGCTTTTTAGCTTGAGCATCCCCTTTGTTTATTTCTGCTTCTGATTTTTCTGTCAGTGAAGGTGTATCACTGAAGACCCGCTGAAGCCCCGATCTTGGAGTTGCTATCTGACATAGAGGCAGGTTTGCTGTCGAGGTCTTTAACCCATTTTAAAAATTTCTTTTTTTTAAAATTGAATCCCTGTGAGACAGACCCTTGCAAAGCTGTTCATGATTAGGTTTCAGTCATAAAGTGTTCCAACACCCATCCCTCCACCAATGCACATTTTCCCAGCACTAGTGTCCTCAATTTCCCTCCCATCAACCCCCACCCCATTCCCAGCCTGTCTATGTGGCAGGCACTTCTCTCTCTCCCTCTTCCCCCCCCCCCCTCTCTCTCTCCTCTCTCTCTCTCTCCGCCCCCCCTCCCGCCCTTTTGGGTATTGTGGTCTTTAACCCATCTGAATTGACCTGTGTAGGGCATGTCACAGAACTCTAAACTATTACTACTATTATTGCTAACTTTGCATATGGTTAACCAGTTTCCCCAGCACCTTTCGTTGAAGAGACCCTCCTTGCTTTACCTCCTACACCTAGCCCCTTTGTCATAAATGAACTTTTCCAGCTGTTTCCTCAAAGTAAACAAAGAAACCAAGGGCCAAAAGGCAAATTAAAAAAATGCTGATCATCATTAATTTTCAGGGAAATGCAAATCAAAATGACAATGTGACCTCCCACCGGTCAGAAAGAGTTACAGGAAAAAAGGCCAGAAACACCAAGCACTGGCTTAGGGATGTGGGGAAAAACCAAAAGGAACTCTCATTCACTGCTGGTGGGACTGTTGCTGGTTCAGTCTCTCTCGTGAGCAGTTTGGAGATTTCTCAAAACATTCCAAACAGAATGTCCATAAGACCCTGTGGTTCTACTTCTGGTTCTACATTCAAGAACACAAAAATATGACTCCAGAAAGACATAGGCACACTTCTTCATTGTAGTACCATTTACAGTAGCCAAGATCTGAAAAGAACCCAAGGGCACAATCACCAATGAGCTGCATAGCTACACAATGGAATACTACTCAGCTAGGAGAAAAGAGGGAACGGGGCAGTTTGTTGTAATTTGGGTGGAACTGGAGGGTGTCATGCTAAGGGAAGGGAGTCAGGAAGTGAAAGAGAAATACGAGATAATCTCATTCAAGAGCAGAACATAAAGAAACAAAGATAGGGATTAGAAACAGACCTTGAGACATGACCCATAGAAGCTGAGGGGGAAAGGGCCCTTGGGACAGTAGTGGAGGGATCTGGAAATGCTGGAAGAGGGACTGTAAGATGATGCGGATGCTAATGTAGGGGCTGGAGCGATAGCCCAGTGGGAAGGGAATGTGCCTCGTACATGGCCAACCCAGGTTTGGTCCTGGGCACCATATATGGTCCCTTGAGTTTCACCAGGAGTGATCCCTGACCAGGAATAAGGCCTGAGAGCTGCTGGGTGTGCCTCCCTCGTCCCCTCTCCTCCCAATTAGTGTAAACTAGGAAATATCAATTAGAAAAAATGTTAAAAGAAACACTACAGGAAGTCTTCGTCACCTAAAAATCAGAGGGCAGGCTGAGGGCACCCCCTTCAGAAAGGCCGCAGGCAGCCCCACCAGCACCTGTCCCCCTAGGGCTAGTCCCGGCAGTGATATCCTGGGAATTTCCCTTCTGCGTGGTTCAGTGATGCCAAATAAAGTAGAAGGTTCTGTCTGGTCCCAATAGGTCATGGCAAAGTCTCTCTCTTGATCCAGCCACACACGACAGTTCCTCGAAATTCCTGTCCCATCTTAGGTGCACTAACACCCTGGGACAGAGGTCTTGCCTTCCTCCTCAGCTCTAAGGTGCCCTGCAGTGTGACAGAGAAGGTGGCAGCCGTTCCAGGCCTCTCTGTGTCCCCCAAGGTTGATGATCCCAGGAGCAAGGCCCAGGGTCTGGCTGGCTATATGCAGGGGCACAGGAGCCCTTTCCTTCTGCTCATATGGGCTCCAGAGTCCTTTGGCTTCATCCTGACGCTCAGCCCAGGCAGGTGGGAAGGAAACCTTGGATCCTCCTATAGGAGGGGTTTTGGAGAGAGGCATTATGACTGGGAGCTGAAAGGATGCACTCTCATAGGGGTTGTTGAGATTTGCTTTCCTGGCGTAAGAGATTGGTGTGTTTCCCCCTGAGAAATTTGGGGGACCATGGATACATGCAAGGCAACAACCATTTCTGTACCATTTCTCTGGCCCAGGAAAGATCTATGGCTTTATCTCAACTGGGATTCACAGTTGCTTTCAACTTGTGAAAATCCACTGAGCCTGAGAAAATTCACACACACACACACACACACACAAACACAAGGACTACCATACTGTGAAGGCACAGTTGAGTCTGTGAAAATTCACTAAGTTGCACA